CAGAGCGGATATCGTGATAGACGCAGAGGACCACACACACTCGACATATTACATAAAAGCCTTAATGTGGAAAAACATGGAGTTTATCTACACAAAAGCAGCATCTGAATTGAATTTTAAGTAGATTTGTAGGTCAGAAACACACATTTCCTACCATCTATATTTAAGTCGGCGGGTTTCCTGACAATCTTCTTCTTCTAAGCTCTGAGATTGTTCTGCTTCCTTCCAGGTTTCCCGGCTTATATTCGGCTCTGAAAGGATTTTGGTGACACTCTACCTGACCCGTCATGTTTTAATGAACACTTTTTGCTTTTAAGCTGCTCTTAAGCTTACATAAGTGTTATTATACATGTCTAATTAGGATTATTAGAGTGAAAAAAAAAAGCAGAGAAGCAGAAATCCATAGAGTGCTGCTTCATATGTGGTAATTACAGAGCTACTTGAGTAAACATAATGCTCAAATGTTGGTGTCAATGTGCCTGAAACCATCTGCTTTGCCACTGACTCACAGTACGTCTATGAGTGTTTCTGAGTGTTCCAGTATTTTTCCATGTATGACCTTGTCACTCTTGCTTTAGATATCCTGTCATTGTTACACAGCAGTTACACTCATGGCTGCGAACACAAATGCCAAGAAAAATACAAACACACACAAACACCGCACCCGCTGCCTGTGAATGATTTAAACCCTATCACATGTCGACCTCCAGTTTCAGTGACGTGATGCTACAGCGAGCAGGACGCCAAGTTCCCATTTCTCCCTATATATCTCTGAGTGACTCAGTCACAGGTGACAGAGTAACGAACACTTACATACATACGGGAACGCTGTTTACAGGATCAGCAGACCGTAGAAACCACTATAATCCCAGCTATCAGGGGACAGAGGGGAACAGGCAGGACAATGCATGACAACGTAAAAGGGTAAATGACAGGGGGAAACTTGATATCGCTCAAGACAGTAGACATGCTGACACCTCAAAGAGCAAAACGTGATTAGGCAGTGACACACAGCAGCAGGAGCAGCAGCACAGGTCCTATTGTGGTGGAGTGAGTGCAGAGGACACAGGGTTTAGCCTATAGGGTTACAGCCTCATTATAGCACTGATGAAGGAGGCGAGCTGGGACTGCGACGCTTGGAAGGGTTGAAAACCTGCAGCCTCACAGGGCCAGAAAACAGACCTCAGTCTAACAGGAGTGCTATAACCCAGAAACAGGTCGAAAACGTCCACATTACTACAGTACCGCGATCCCCACGTGGAGCTGTTGTGTTTAGAGATTGTTTGTGGAGTGGAGTGAATATATATCAGAATAATAGAGACTATATGGACTGTGTTTAACATTATCAACTTATCAAGTGTGTGGCAAAATGTTTTTGAACCTGATGCTCACATTCTCTGTCAGGACTGCACTCCCTGTTTATGTAGCGTTTGAAACCAACACTCAGGACAAGCACATTTGGCATCACTGGACTTTTTGTTATTAGGAGACAAACTATTCTGAAACCAGGAGCAGTGCAGTAAAACCATGATAGCAATGCTGGCTAAGGGCAGCCCTGTAAGATAAGGCATCCAAGTGGAAACAGAGAGCGTAACAAACTGTATCAATACCAATTTCTGTTACTGTACCCGTGGGAAATTACAACGCATCTACATGGAGACAACGTGTTAGGCACACCTCAGTGCACCTGCACATTTATCCTCTGGCTGTTCCGGTTTATCACTAGCGCTGATTGGCTGCAGAGGGTCACCTGCATGAATATAAAGTAAGTGTGTGTGTGTGTGTGTGTGGGGGGGGGGTCTCTCTCCTCCATCAACACTAGCTGCACAGTTCTCCACACGTGCTTTTGCCTCTTTTTGCTTGATTTTGTTGAATAACATTAATCGAGGGGATGGGTGTGAATGTGATGGCTAACTATTTTCCATTAATAAAATGTTTTGCAGCATTAAATGCATCAACTGATCACGGCTGCAGGAATAGCAGCCAAAAACAAACAAACAAAAAAAACCCTCCAAATTATGCAAAGCTGCTTTGCTTGTATCAAAATAAGAGCATAAACAGTTTTTCAAGGAAATATTAAAATTCAGATGTTTTGCTTTGCGGCTTCTGGATTTCTACACACAGCATAGCTGGAGTGATCCTCTCACTGATGAAGGAGGTGAGCTGAGATCGTGCTTGTGCAGATACTAATTAAACATCCTGGACTTTACCTCTACATTTACCAAAACAGCTCCCAGGTCACTGCTTGCTCCTGTCAGATAAAGGGCTAACAGCAGGCATGTTGTTATATCAATACCACATTTGGAGGGGACTGACATATGATGGAGCTGTTGGGCTATTATGCATTGACATTTCCAATGGGGGGGGAAAGAGCCCTCAGAGACCCACGTTCAGCTCCACTTTAATCAATGTGCTCACGTTCCCTTCCTTTTAATCTCACATGGGAAAAAAAACAGCTCTGATGCACCTTATTTGTTTATCAAAGTACAGCCATCCTGCTCGCAGATAAAACTGGACGATGGCTGCGATCAAAGTGAAGCACTTAAACGGAGAGCAATTGCTCTCTTCAGGATGAGAGATGGACTGTCGAATCCATCCCGAATGAACTGTTCTCTGTGAGTGAGAGCGAGGCAGATTTAATAGAAGCCCCATTGGCTCCCGAGGAAGTCTAACACCTATAATATGTGGATTTATTTTAGCACTAAAGCAGCCATTAATGCCAGACAGAAAAACAGAAAACCCTGCGCATATATAAAATATAACACTAAGAAAGTTAAGCTGTTCTAAGCAGTTTGAGTTATAAGTGGGTTTTGTTGAACAATATAGTCAGAGTGCTAGAAAGGCTAAAAATAATAATATACATGTGCAAACTAAATGTAACTGAATTTTCTGCTTTTTATTGCATGATATGAGCCTGTATGAGTGCATGTACAAGAAAGGAAGACCAATATTTGCAGCAAAACTTCACTGATGTGTCGTTTACAAGAGGAGACGGTTACATATTATGGCTCAAGTAGATAAAGTCTGCATATTTCCTTCTGTAGACAGGTTATTGCACGGAGTGAGAGATAAGTTAAGCAAAGTGTTGGCATAGAAAAGATATTGCAAACTGTTAGTGAAACCTCCCAAAGGGCTTCTTTCTTTGTGCTTAGACAGGTGTGTTGAACACATACTTTATGTTGGAGGCTCGGATATGAAACTCCTCATCTCATCTCAACCTCCCTCCTCCTCTCACATATTTGACAGCAGCACATGGAGGCTATGTCCCAAACCCAGAGGAGTTTAGTTTCATTATAACAATCAATAATTCAAAACCGCCTCCTTTTCATCAGTGCCAGCATCACAGATGTGACCCAAGTCTATTGGCTGTCTGCATCCCCATTCTGTCCCTCTGTCTCTCTCTCTCACACACACACACACACACACACACACACACACACACACACACACACACACACACACTCTCCTTCCAACGGCAAAGTTCAGCATAGGCATTCATTTTTAAAGCGCCCCTGTCACCGGTATTATAAAATAGCAAGTCTCAGCCCTGGTTGTAAGACCTCTGCTGCAGGGCAGACGCACATACACACACAGAAAAATAAATATAATGATTGTTTTCTTCACCTTAAAGTGTTTTAAAGCCACATCACAGCAAACTCAAACCATCCCAGTGCCCTGCATAGCAGCAGCTTTGATATTTACAGGCTAAACAGCAAACAAGGCGAAACCCGAGGCCATGTGGGGAAAACTCCTTACAGGAGTGGGCTGGGAGAACTTCATAAAACTGCTTCCTCTGGTGTCTCAAAAGCACACAAGTGATTAGGAGGGAGTCAGGGCATGCACTGTGGAGGCCAACGATGTGGCAAGGCTAGAAGTCCTGCTTTGCTTATCCAAAATACAAGGAAAAAATACAGATTATGAAATTGGCAGAGTGGTGCTGGCTGCGTGCCTAAAAACCCACTTACACTTTCAGACATAATCTCGGAGTTTCTTTCATCATTTTCCTTTTCATTCCCTGACAATACAAACAAACGCCTTAACTATTCCCCGTGGGAGAGCTTTTTGTTCATATTATCCTCTTGCATCCTGCTGAAGACCTCTGTACATTTACCTTTATATCTCTCCAGCACATCTTCATACGCCTGGGCGAACTCCTTCTCCTGTGAGTGGTTTGAAGGCAGCAGACCCGGTACGAAACCGGCCATGGTGGCTCACAAGCCGGCTTGTGAAGAAGAGAGGGGTCGGCCTGCGGACTACCGCAGTAACCCGTTCCGCTGGTGTTGCTGCTGCTTCTGCTGCCCGTCCGGACCCCAGCTCCGGCTCCCTGTGCTTCCTTCTCCCTCCTCCGGTGTCCAATACAAACACCACGGTGCGTGAAACTAGTGAATATGATGCATTGGCGCACACCAAAAGCCCCGCAGCTCACTTCTGGAGCGCGGTTAGATAATCCTCAGGGACACTTGAGGGAATATAAAGGACAACAAAAAGCCTCAGTGAGCGTCTATCTGTGAAAATCTACTTAAATGAAGGTTACATAAACGCTATCTATCCATGACAGCCGTCAGTGTACGTGTGGGTGCGGGGCCACACGGTCGCATCGCTCGGTGCGTTTCCTCCGGCCAGTCCCTCCTTAAATATCGCCTTCCACCCGGTGACTGCTGCTTTTTGTGCCTCCTGTGCGTGTTTGTGAGAGAGAGAGAGAGAGAGAGAGAGAGGGAGGGAGTATATCCTAGTGACGGGAGGGGGCCGTGTGTCTCTTTCCGTCCGGAGCTCCAAACCAAACCGTATCCGGGCTCGGGCTTTCTATCCGAGGCTGAGTCGGCAGCGTCCTGTGGATCCGAAAAGAGCCGGGCGAGCTCCCAGCATGCTTCCCAGCCGTAATGGCTACTTCTGTCCGAGGCTTTGCGGCCCCTGGGTCCGTGTGAATGTGTGTGCGTGTGTCTCTCTCCCTCCTATGCTCAGGTTTCTCGGTCCTTCCTGCAGTGGCTGTCTTCCATCCCTCTCTACCGGCCGCGCCAGGAACCTCCGCCACAGGAATTTGTAGTGCCGGTGGGGAAGAGCTAGCTAGCCTAGCTGAACAGGTGGAAAATGGAGCTGGAGCGCCCTCAGACGGAGGTAGTGGCTCAGTGACAAATCTTGTTCAGGTGTTTTAAAATATTGTTTATCATTTCCCACTGTGACGGATATTAAACCAGTTTACTAAAGCAATAACCCCCTGATTGAAAACTACATGTAGCATGCTAACACTTAACGTTATTTTCCGTTAAACTGCTGACCTGAAAATCTATACCAGGGATGTCAAACTCATTTTGTATCGTGGGCCACATACAACCCCAGACTAAATACATTTAACCCCATTTAATGTGCTTAAAGTGGAATTTCTTCTTTTTTCATTTTTACTCAAAGATGAAGAAATTCTGCTTCAGTAAATGAAAGAAATCTGTCGGCACAATTAACTAATGTGTAAAATAACAGAAAGTTCTAGTACTTTCTGTTATTTTAGTACCTCATTGCCCAGGAGAGTAATTCACATTTATTCACATAGCGGAAAAAACAGGACATTTTCTCCATTTTAATTCTTATTGTTTATCTATTTACTTTGGTGTGGCATGAAGAGCCATGGTGGCAGTCTTTATATGTAGGAAAAAGCTGTAAAACCAATGCAAATACAGTTAAAAGTAAAAAAAATCTATGAGCTCATTCACAATTTCGAAAATAGTTCAGCGGGCTCCATGGTCTTCGGTGGGCCGATTCTGGCCCCTGGGCCTTATGTTTGACACTTGTGACTAATTAAATTTGTCAGTTTTTAACATTTTTTGTTTGTTTTGCAAAAGGACGTACATGTTAAAGTCCCCCACAACTCAAGAGAAGTCCTTTTGTAATTTCATGTCTCTCTCTGTTAATTTTTCAGCATAACTTTGAACTTTGTTTGAGTCATTTTGTATATTTTAGAAATCTTTTTGTCTTTTTGGTGGTTTTAATTTTTCCTTCAATAGTCATGTTTTATTTCTGTTCCTTGCTTTGAACCATTTTTTGTTTCCTTTTGGCTGTAGTTTTCCCCCCAGTTATTTTGTGTTTCTTTGTGATTGCTTTGAGTTTACTTTCAGAAGTCATCCTTCTCTGTGTAATCATTTTAATTCTCTATAGGTGTTTTTTTTTTATTTTTTTTTTTAGTTTTAACTTTTTTGAGATGCATCTCACAAGCATATAAATCGTTGTTTTCAGACTGTCATATTTGAATCACTTCACAGTCTGTTTGTCATTTGTGTCTTTTTGCAGTTCCCTGATTTCACCCCCATAAGCTAATATTAACAGAAGGTCTGTCTCAAAAGCTCCCTGATCCCTTGTGGTCCCTGCAGGCTTGTTAAGTCATTTTTCTACAATTGTCAACCCCCAACTAATTGATCATGCATGAGGATTTGCAACCACATTGCATTTTTGCCATGGTAGGTAGTCACTGTAATAACAAGTAGATGCATTTTGATTTTTTATTTCTGAAAAATTCTGCAAACAACTTGTAAAACACACTAAATAAACTCAAGAATGTTTAAAGGAGTGGACTGAATGAATGGAGCACAGTGCCATCTAAAGGCTAAGTAAACGTACATAACCAGGAGCTCTGGCGAAATAATAAAATTTTAAACAACACCTTGTTAACAAGCTTTTAAACCAAAACTTATAAGCTTCTCCAGACACAGGAAACAGTAAAACTAGGCGATTATATTTAATTGAAAAACAGGCACATCTCATTGTTCTGTATTTGACGCTATTAAATATGTATTTTATGTTAAGTAATCTGTGTGTCTGCCCTGTCCTGCTGTGGATAATCTCTCAATGCCAGTGAGGTCACAGTCCATAAAGCAGCATCATTCAATGGTGCAGAGATTATGTCATTTAATCCCACAAAGACACATAAAGATAACCTTTATGTAAATCACAATACCATCCCCATTCTGTCAGAAGAAAAACATACATTTATGTGGTTGGAAACTAGAGTCCACAGAGTAAAAGAGGTGGAGATGTCAAGAGTGGAGGCAGGTGTAGATTGTAGATGTCTGTCTGAAGTCAATATTAGATCGAAACACAAATAAAAGATGCATGAATGGCCCCACAAGGCAGATGACCAGTGACTGGGAAATCAAGAGCCAGATACATAAAAGGGCAGGAATGCAGCATATTTCCACTCATGTCTGCAGCCATGAATGGAAAGTAAATCACATAAAAAACTGTGTTTACACCACCAGGTTATTCAGATGGCAATGAGAGGAACAGCAAAGACGCTTACATTCACTGAATGTGAAATTCAGAGCTTTGCTGCTGGAGCTGTTGGTGGTCTCAGTTAGTACTTAAGGGAATAAAGTCAACAGGAGAGTGGATAACACAGCAGCAGGGCAGCCATACTTATGCACAAATAAATAGAAATTAAAATATCAGCATTATTGTCGATAAGTTCAGTATGCACATCATTAATTTACGATGCAGCCTGTGAATATAATGCATTTAAATATCTTCAATTTGCAAGATTTCTTTGTTTTTGAGTGTGCACATGGAAAGTATCCTCCCTTCTCACCCTATAAATTCTAGATTACGTCCTTAGCTTAATACATGGATATCATTTGGAAATGTAATGGGGCCCTATAAGGGCTTACGTTTGGCTATTGCTTCCAGCACTTTCATCTGTTTTATTTTTAAAACACAGGTCCTAATCCTGTAATATGAAATAATTACAATTTTAACAGCATAAGGACTTGAGGCCGATAAGCTGTAAATGTTTTTGCTTTTATTTGTTATTCAAATTCAGACTAAAAGGGAATTTTTCACTGTTCACAGGCATAAAAACGCTACATGTAGTTATGTCTTGATTTTACTTGTTCTATACTAAATGGAACATTTTTAAGATCCCTAACCTTTTCAAGCAAATTTAGAAATTCATCTCTCTCTAAATATATAAAGAGGATATTTCATGTATTTTAGCCTTTTCATTTTGCCCCTTTTCTAATCAAATGAATGCAAACAGGAAGAATATGTGTATGTACTGAATACTGAAGTGTGTTTGAACGGGTATTTTACTGTCTGTCTGTCATGTGTGGGTCACGGGTGCTGTAACAGGTCTGGAAGTAGCTGCATATCATCATTTACGACATGCATGCACACATGTGTACTCAGATGAATTTAAACCATGTAACATGACAAAAGATAAAAGGAAAAAGTGAAAGTGGCAGTAAATAAACCAGCCTCACAAGCTCATACAACATTTATCATATCAGCGGTTCAATGACCCAGGAGCCATTCATACATCTTACTGTGACCCTCTTTTCCTTCCTTCCTTGAAGCCTTTAATCTCAACACATCATCAGTGAGCAAGGCCAACACCAACAAACTGGCAGTCTCTGCAGAAATATACTGCTTTGCTGCATTGCAAGAGCTCATTTCTGAAGGTAGCAGAATAAGTAGGAGGTCACAGGTTCAATAAAAAAACATCCTATTTGTGCAAAAAGGAAAACGTTCAGGAGCTTTCCCGCACCAAAGGAAATGTTGGTTAATTATAAAAGCATCACTAGTCTGGCTTAAAACACCTTAAGCGATTTAGAAAAGACTAATTTCTTTATAATAATTACACAAAGATATTATCAGTTTCAAAGTGAATGATTAGATTCGTCTCTGCAGAGATCTGACCCCATCTTTCATTACTCTAACATCCTGTTTGTGTCTCCTCACTCTGCCTCTCCCTCATTACAGGACCGACACACATCACATTAACATTACCCCAGTGATGTGAACACAAACAGACACTTTAGGGATACAGATCTGGCACCCTCTGTATCTACAGGAAGTCAAGGAAGATGAATCCAAAATGCGAGAACTGAAAGAAAAACATTCCAACAGATGTTTTTGTCTTAAAAAACAAATAAACTCGGGCTAATGTGACTCTGGTCTCATGGTCCAGTCGTTTCTATTGTACTTTACAGCATTGAACAGCCAGAGAAAAACATCTTTCACTCTCTATAAAGTCCAGACAGAATTTCACTGATAAAATGAGGAAAAGCAGGCGATTCCTCCTAAAAATGAACCTGTCAGTGTGTGAAACCCTTATATCTCCGTCTAGTGGTGGAGAACGGAAATTACAGATGAGTCACAGTTGGCCTGAATGACCTCTTGTTTATGTTTCTCCACTTGTATGTTTTCATCTTCACGTCATGATGTGTATTAATAGTAAATACATAAGCGTGAACTTAAATAAAAGTAGTAAAATATGTGTTCAAGTGTATTTTTCACTGTTTTCTTCCCGCAGTGCGAGTCTTCTGCATGTGTGTTTGTTAGCATGTGTATTGTTGTGTGTCTGTGCTGCATGCAGAGTCCAGCTGCACTGTGAATGTGCCAAAAGTACACAAAGTCCTCGACACAACAGCATGACCAAACACTTCAGCTGCAGAGCTCCACCTTGGCTTCTAACTTTAACGTCAGCCACAAACATTTCACACAGAAACCTCTCTGTTGCTTACGTGCCTACTCATGAAACATCTAAAAAATGAAAGCTAACATCAAACAGTCTGATCTCATTATCCACGCCTGCATTTTTGTGTAAATTACTTCCTAATAATGCAGCTGAGCGCCCTTAATAACCAGCTGAGAGATTAAATCAAATCTATTGTGAGTGACTTGGATTTAAGTTAAGACTCTTTACAGGGTCTGACCTTTGCTCTACTGTTTTGACTTTCACAAATAAGCAAATTCAATCATAGATAAAAATGCATTTAAAAGATTATAACAACAAAGCTTGAGTATAAACTCTTAACTGGTTCAAGTGTAATCGGTGATGTCTGTCATCAGATGTTTCCAATCATGCAATGAGAAAATATGAATGGCATGAGAAGCAGTTTAATGCATCTAATTTGGGTAAGTGCTTTAGCTTTGATCCAAATACTTGTAGATTCATGCTAGTAACCACTTTAGCTTACCTCTTATTAATTTATAAAGACTGTTAGTCCAAAATGTGATTATTTAAAATTGTCCTGGTTTTCTTATGTTTCAGTTTCATTGTAACATAAAATTTAAAAAAGAACAGATTTAAATGTGTCCATAATATTTTTCTGTAAATGAATAGATTTAGTGTCTTAATTGAAAACACATTTAACACTCTGCTGTAAAAATCTTTGTTGGTTCTGAACCTTTAGCCCCATAAGACGAGAAATTAATCCCAGGATATGACACTGCTAAAAACGTCTGTCAAGTTTATTTTTAGTTTTATATTCAGTTGATTTCCAGACCAGCAGGTATCTTACAGTACATGTCATCACAGATCTATCACAATCACACTCTAAAACACATTTTGTCTTTAGAAACCATACATTACGAGCTCTTGGTGCATCTTAAAGTATACCCTTCTTTGCTGCCCATTTTACTCTAAATTAACCCATCACTGACAAAATGAACATCATGTTGTAATAAACATGACTTTAAACTGGTGACTGAGACCATAAATTTAACAGAAAAATGTTTACTGTGGTCACAGAATAAGATAGAAATAGAACTAGTTTCCGCTATATTTCTGTACAGTTTGACCTCTCTTTGCAGCCAGGTGTCGCCCCCTGCTGGACACTGGAAGAAGTACAGGTTTAAGGCATTTGAGCATTGGCAGGTCATGAACAGTTTATACCAAAGACACTATCTACTTGCTTTCCTCCCAAAAAAGGAAAAAAGAACCTGTAAAACTTTATAGTGCTTAGAGGATGTAGCCTACTGGCACATCACGGCCAACCGAAAAAAGTTTGTTGGGTGGTGCTTTTTTCTTGTTTTAAACTTTATGTTTCTCTTGCTTTCAAAGTTTCCTTTTCACCACACAATCACTTTTATTTCCCTTTAGTCTCCTTGCTTCATTCCCTTCCTTCTTTCTTTACAATCCTATCTTGTCCATCTCTTTCTGTTTTAAGCTCTTCTACTGTTTCCTCTCATCTTTACTTCTTTCTCATTCATAGCAGTCGTTCTCCTTTTGTTTTTCCGTCTTGTTCCTCGAGCTCATTTCTCTTTCCAAGTTCTTTTTTTAAGTTGTCAGTGCTTGTCTTCATCCTCCTGTTAATCATTCTCTTCTCTGTGTTATGACCTCCTTCACCCTCACATCTATTCACAGAGTCACCCTTTCTTTCCCCTCTTTAAATTCTCCCCCTCTCTCTCCGACTCCATTTCTCTCCTCTCTTCATTACTTTCTAAACTCACACGATCATTCACTCCTCGGTCTCTCTCTCCCTCCTTTCTCCACTCCAAATTAAAATTCGGACACTCTCTCACTCCTTCGCTATTTGTTTTGCGCCCCTTTTATATCCAGTGTCAGTCTCTCTCACCCCTGCCGCCATTGCTTCTCCTAGCCTTGCATAACCATGGAAACAGAGTAGACCACGTCACCATGGCAACAGGGTAATAGCCAGGGCCTTGAGCCGAGGCTTCCTTTCAGTTTGCCTGCAAAAAATTTTTTTAAAGAATCCAGCAGGCAGGATGGCGGACGCCTAAGTTACATGCAGGCAAAGACATCTGAGGTCCTGATGCTCATATGCATAAATTATCACTGCTGCTGCCTCACTCACACTGAGCAAATGTATCACACTGTGTCATTTCCTTTCTTATTTTGTTGTACAAATAATTTCCAAACCATCCTTTATTTGTTGTGTCTCTCCATTACTGCATCTCCATGTAAGTAAAACAAGAAAACCTAAATGTTCAGCATTCATGAGGAATTTTGAAGTCAGAAAGCCTTTTTTGTGATTTAATTGGATGTGATGTAATTACGTCACAACCAAAACCTGAAGAAGAGTAGCAACTCTTGTAAAAATATGCACAAAAACGTCCTTCTAGTTACAGAAATATATAAGAAAATTATTCCATTTCTAACCTAATTTGTGACCTCAGTAAAAAAATTTCAGTTTATGGTTTTAAGTCTTACTTAATGCAACTTGACGTTTAGTTTTTTAATTTATGGTCCAATGAAGAGTAAAAGAGATGTTAAAGCCACCTTATGATTGAAAAGTCAGCACACTATGGGTATGCAGTGCCCTGAGGTTAATGCTCATCAAAAACAAAATTACAACACAAAGATGGGAGATATCACATTAGCTATGACCATCTTTTATATACAGTCTAAGACTAACAAACTACTTTTAAAATATTTTTATTCTGCTCTGTGTTTACAGCCCCCAATTAGTTCAAAATGTAATTTGGTGGGAAAATACTGAATTTTCACTCACGTACACAGAAAAACTAGCAGCTGTTGGTCGGTTTCATTGACATTCAGATTCAGCAGACAGGCAGTGCAACCCAAAGTGTCTGAATAACAGAGTCCAGTCACTACAGCAGTGTCTCTCTTTATCCTCTCCAGTATTCACAAAGCTCCCAGTGTTTCCTCCCCTCGCCCTCCACTTCTTCTGCCAGCTCTTTCTTCAGATGTGTAAGGATGCAACTTTTCCCAAAATAAAGATAGATATTTTCCGAGAGAAAAGAATACCTTCTTCCTAGCACTACATCTCTGTGCTGCGTGTCCTTATTCTGTATGAATATGTTGTCATGGGGCTAAACTGTGTGGCTTATAAGCAGGCTAATATATTCACATTCTGACCTCTGTTTGACTGGAAATTGAGGTCAGTGTAAACACGCCGTACAGATTATTTAAAATGTAAAATCATCACAATAGGCTGCACACGCCTGAGCGAGCACTGAACAAGCCTGGGAGATACAGGATGTTACCAGAAGCATGAGCTTTAAATGAAAGCCTCTGCAGAGTGAATTCGACAGCGTCAGTATTAGAGACACTCGTGCTCTGCTTGTCACATCAAACCATTTAGCAGACAGGATATAAAAATGTACAGCATGCTTTACTCAGCAACAAGAACTTATCAAAGCTGACAAGGGGCAAGTGCAAGGTTGCACCTCATAGCGCAAACACAGACAACCATTAACATTTAAACCTATAACTATGTTGGATGACCAGTTAATCTGACATTTACATCTCTGGATGGACGCCAGGTTTGAACCCAGAACCTCCTTTCTGAGACGAGCTAGCACTTACCACCATGTATTTCCACTATATCATTTGAATGGACTGAAGAAGCTTCAGTTAGTCACATGATTTCTGATCTAAATGATTTCTCCTTTAAAATATTTTAATGCAGGACTCAACATAGGGTGCAAAAGGAAAGAACTGTGGATCAAGACAGAGGAGAAAGTATTTTGCACAAGTAAAACTATTTAAATTCACATAATCATGAATCAAAAAACAAAAACAATGTAAAACAGGAAAAAACTAAAAGTCACACTAATCAAGACAAGAAGAGATGCAGAAAGAACGACAATAAGAAGAACATACAGGGAAACTACCACTAATAATAATCTAAATATAGCAGGATAAGAGAGACACAAGAAGAATACTAAAATCTCCAAACTGATAGATAAAAATAAATAAATGATGAACTCAAGGGGTAAAAACAAAAACTGGACAAAATCTCAAATAACACAAAATCAGGACCATGTGCAGAAGCATAGCAGAAAACATAGACACAGCTTCAAACTGGGACTTCACTAACCTGTCAGTGAAATCTTGTTGGTTATATCTATTTTTAATTTACAGTCTTACATATTACTGAATCATCGGCCCATCTTATGTCAGGACCCTGTAGTCCTGTGATTTTTTGTTCCACAGTAAAGCTCTTTATTGTCTGTACTTCTGGAACACAGTATGGGTACACACTTTACAGAGTGGTAACAGGCAGTTGTGAGGTAACTGTACTGCTCTGTACTGCATTAAAAGAGGCTTACAACTACTTTTTGTCCCCCACACCCACTCTATATGTTTTTATTTAGCTGTGGCAAAATGTCTTTGGATCTCCTTTAACCTTCTTGGGGTGTAAAACAAAAAGAAAAGAGTTGTGTTGATGTAATGGTTGAGTTTATAGGATCAGTTGCTATTTGTTGCATTGCTGTAAATTCACAGTGAGTCTGAACATAAAGTCAAATGTTTCGTTGGCAGGTGAAGAGAAAAATGCCACACAGCAGACTTTGGCAGTGTTAGTTAGGTGTTGCCTGTGTTTCAGCCCCAGGGTGGTTTGTGGCGACGCCAACATTTACTCGACTGCTACCTGCTGCCGCCAGAACTGAATGATCTCCACGCAATCGAGTCTGACTCGCTGACTCACCCGCAAGGCGCTGCCAGGAAAGCTCCAGGTCTAAGTGTTTGGTTTAATAACTGGAGATAATAATCCTTAAATGTTTTTCACCTTTCCCAGCTCTTCTCTCTACGCGCACACATGCATGCACTCTAAACAACCGTCTGCACAGCTGTGAATTTCAACTACATGATGCATGTTTATCCAAAAAGGCATGAGAAAGTGGAAAAAGCCATCCTCGTCAAGTGTTCATTAAGAACATATGAGATCATTTGTATTTTGTTCCTCACACCTGAGAGCAGAAATAAATCTGAGAGAAAAGTGGCCTCAAAATGTAAAAGATGCACATAAAATTAACCATAAACTAAATTCACAGTGTGAGCAAGTCGGACTTACAAAGACATTTTTTCCTTCATTTTCTCTGCTTTAAAAGAAGAACTGTGATGATGATGATGATGATGATGATGATGATGATGATGATGATGATGGTGTAACTAACATTTAAACATTGTGTGACTTTACTGCATGTAGTTTTGATCATCTGTAATAAAACGATGACCAGAGAACATAAAAGTGACGCCAGATCTCTTAAACCAGACTCCAGCAATGATGAAGATTCCACATCTGTCCTCAGATCTGGTTGTAATTAGACGTGTAACAGTAACAAAAAGGAGAACGCTTATATCTGTTATGTTATATTGTTATTAAGGCTCAATAAGTGATTCTTGAAGGTTTTAGTTCTGTATTTTTGGACTTTTTAATATCACAGTTTTGCAGTAAAGCTGAACACAGTGGATTTTACTTAAAGTGGACATGTGTTTTAGGAGCTGCTAATATTAGACATGTCTAATCTGCAAACAATGAGGTCAGTGTACGTCCAAGGAATATCTGTTTCACACTCACACACAGATATTTTTTCTACTCTTGGCTCTGTATGATGTCAGAGACGGGATATCCCTTATATGGTCATCTCCGTCACACTGCTGTGGCTGTGAGCACAGATGCCACCTGTTGTTCAAACCTTCTGTTTATGTAGGGCAGCCAATCAGAAGGATGTTGCCTTAAAAGGGGAGGAGCTAAAACAGTTTCAGACAGTGGATAAACTGCTCTCAGGCTCAGGGAAATCAGGATGATTTTGAGCTGTGACTCATACAAAGCTAGTCTAGTAAAGTCCGTAAATATCTATAAATGGATTTATTTATTTTCTTGTTTTACCTTTATTTATCAGTTGGTTCCAGCTGTTTTCATGATTGTGTCAAATTGTATTTCACATGACATTATTCACAGGTTTATCCTTTAACCACACGCTGCCTTCATTTCACCTCCTTTTGATCTATTATCCTTATTTCAAAAGCCATGCATGTGTAGATGTGTGCATGTGAGAGCCAGTCTTACACGCACTCTCACTTACCTGGTGTACAAATTGAATTCCCCT